TTCTTTTTTCTTCTTCACTCTTCTTATCTTTTCACTCTGATGCATTTTGTCGGGCTTGGGAAAAGCACAATGATCGACTTTACATTGTCGTATTAGTTTTTCTTCGTCTCGTCGCATCTGAAAAACTACTATTCTTCTTCTTCTTCTTTTTATTTTCTTCTCGGTTTTTTTTCTTCTTCTCTCTATATTTTGCCTTTCTCTTTTTTTTCCTTCTTTCGTGACAACAAACCAAACTGACTTTATATATGCTTTCACTTGCTTCGTCTTCCAGCAACATAGACACTCGTGTATATTGAAGAAATAAAATGAATTTTAATTTAAAAGCAGCCGGCGCTTTACTTTCACGAGCTAAACAGGTAGTTTATTATACTATAATTATGATAATTATTTTAACAAGTATTATTTTTAGTTTACAGAAGAAAAACTGGGTCAGGCAACTGATCGAACTGAATATGATGAAAATTTTGAACAATTATTAGCAAAAACTGATCGAATTAAACAATGTACTGAACGATTAATATCTCATGTTGAAACTGTTCTTCAACCAAATCCTAGTTAGTTAATCATCAAAATATTTATAAGTAAATATTTTTTTTCTCTCTCTCTCTAGATGAACGTCTGGAAGATTTCGTACTGACTAAACTCGATCAGAAAACAACAAATAAACCAAATATAATTGAACAACTGGGTCAATGCATGAATGAAGCAGGAAATGATTTTGGTGCATCGACACAATATGGTAGAATAAATAAATTATCTTTTTTCCTATTTTCTTCTTCATTGTTTAGGTTCGACATTAATCAAATGTGGTCAAATGCACCAAAAACTTGGTCATGCTTATAAAGATTTTATTCAATCAGCAGCTATGGGTTATATGCAACCATTAAAAAGCTTTCTTGAAGGTGAAATGAAATCAATAACAGTAATTATTTGCTTTTCTTCTGAGATGATTTCATATTAATATATACAAAATAATATCTTCTAGAAAGAACGTCGTACATTAGAAATGAAACGTCTTGATCTTGATGCTGCAAGATCAAAGCAAAAGAAAAATAAAATGCTTAATAATAATATGTCAACTACAATGGTTGATGTATGTATCTTTCAATTCTATTCTTAATTGAAAATCATATAAAAAAAATGATTTTTTGTTATCTTATAAATGATTTCTAATCAATTTCTAGAGTTCGGATGCTGATGTTCGTCAAGCGCAAGCTGAATTTGATCGTCAATATCATATAACACAATTAGCGCTTGATGGTTTACGTAATTCTCAAGTAAATTTGTTGAAAACAAAACTGACACATAAACAAACAAATTATTCATTTTATTTTTCAGAATCATCATTTAAGTTGTTTATATGATTTAATTGAATCTGAATTACAATATCATCAAAAATCTGTGCAAATACTTGAAGATTTACATAAAAAAATGGGGTAAAAAAAAGAAATTTTCCTTGAATAAGTTTTCGAATTAAAATCTGATTTCATTCAGCTTGTCAAAACCTGTTCCAAACACAACCTTACCACGTTTACGTACTGCAATTGTCAAGTTTGATTATGACGCATCTGATTCAAATGAACTAAGTGTTCTTGCTAAAGAAGTAGAATAATTTTCATAGAATTAAAAAAGAAAACATTTTTTTCTTCTTCATAGATAGTAAATGTTATTTCTGATGGCGATGAATCTGACTGGGTAACAATTGAAAAGACAACAACAAAACAACGAGGACGAATACCACGAAGTTATTTACAAATGGATTCGTCCTCATCTTGATTTTATTTTCTGTGTGTTTTTCCATATTTCCATTATATAGAGTATTTTTAAATGTTGATTTCCTTCTTTGTGATATACTTCAATGAGCAACATACATGAAATTATGCAATTAAAAAGATCATTTTATTGATGCATTTTAGTTTACCAATATATATATATTTAATAAAAAAAAGAATTTTTATTTGAAATTTGTTTTTTTAAGAACAAAATAAATAAGTTTATATATCACATAAGATTTAACGTTCATTATGAATCATTTATATTCTTATAGAATTCTAGAAAAAATTACTAAACACTTTTTTTTTTCTTTTCAATAAAAGTTCATGTCAGATAATCTTAGGGTATTAGCTAGTCAGAAAGTATTCGCAATAAACGTCATTTGACGATAGAATATAATAAATTTTTGTTCTTCTAGTTTTTATCATGAATGATCATTCACATGTTTTTCAAGATGGAATCTATAATATATGAATGATTAAATCTAGATAGACTATAGTATTATTTACAATTGATCGTATATATGTAATAAATAGTCTATTGTTCGAACATCTTAACAAAGTTGTAGACTTACTGAAGTATGACTTTTTTGAAAAAATATTACATTGTGAATTATACGGTTCACTTTAACGATTATTCTATTTCGATAATTTGCAAAGGTTTGTACGATAATTGAAGGTTTTTTGATTTAAAAACATAAAACAAGCTTTTAGAAAATGTAAATTTTTACTATAGAATTAAAAGTCTGGATAAATTCATTGTTAAACTAAGATGTATGAATAACTCTAGTCATATTTCTTTTTCTTTTCAGAAAAGTCTAAGAAAATAAATTATTTTCTTGCACCTTATATAGCAATCAATATTAGTTATTGACTATTAGAAGAGAATAATAAAGACTTCCAAAGATGACTTTTATACCATAAACAACACTCTTGTCGATCGTATGTTACAATTGATTAAATTTACTAGTAATTATGCGTTTTTATTGTTTTTTCATAGAAAGAAATTAAATAATTTAACTCTGTTTGCTAGCAGTAAGACATACTTCTATGTTAATATTCCGAATAGATCATGAAAACTTCTGAGGGCAATAGTGATATTTCCTTTCAAACTATGAAGAATTAATTTCAAAGGTTTAATTAATATTGCTATCGATTCTGTTTTTAATATAGTATATTTTGATAAAGTTTGTTTTTACTGGCGAGGGAACCTCTCGAGGTGATAAAAAGCTTTTGAAACCGGACTTGTTTTATCTAGTAGACCCTAGTGAGTAGTGGAATATTCTAAGCTGGTTTGTGCCCTTATTACTTTGGTAGTAAGTTATGGTCAATTCACAATTTTTTTGGCGTATGACACTATATGAGTAACAGTTACGAATGAGCGACTTTGGATCTGAAATTTTGTCCATAAGGAGGTCTTCTGAATACTAAAATAACCTAAAAGTATCAGGCAAAACGAGTGAAACCTTCTTGGGATAATGAATTCTCCAAAAATTGACTATTTGTCTCACTCACTGAAAATTGATCTTAGAAAACATGAAGGGTTCACTCATTTTACCTGATACTTTCAGGTTATTTTAGTATTCAGAAGACCTCCTTATGGACAAAATTTCAGATTCAAAGTCGCTCCTTCATTACTGTTACTCATATAGTGTCATACGTCAAAAAAATAGTGAATTGGCCATAACTTACTACCAAAGCAATAAGGACACAAACCAACTTAGAGTATTTCGCTACGCACTAGGGTTTACTAGATAAAACAAGACCGGCTTCAAAAACTTTTTATCACCTCGAGAGATTCTCTCGTAAAATACATCTTTTTTGAGCTACAAAATTTCTTGATAAAAGTATAACGCTTCCCAATTAGAAACAAATTGTAATTTCGAAATATTGTCAAATAAAAAAAAACAGTTTAAAATTTAGCCTTATAATAGTTCTTCTAGAATAGTCTTCGATTATTTCTGTATTAGTCTTATATTCATGAGGAAACTAATAAATATTCAATCAGTTTCGTGAAGAAAAATTTTCTTTTCAAAAATCTTCCACTTAGCTAGATATGTAGTGGTAGTTACAAAAAACATTTAGATTGAATGACTACAATCTACAATGTAACAATAGAAAAATGTCAGAAAATTCTATAGTGTACCCATTATAAAATTTACAAGTATCTCCAAATCATATCCGATCTTCGATGGTTTCTTCTTCTCAAAAGATTTTTTAATAGTGATGATACAGATATATATTTGTTTGATATGATTATTCTGCTAGTAGTCATCAAGAGTTATAAATTCTTTATTTTAATACCGTACATCTATTAAGTTCAAAAGAAATTCTAAAAAGTGATTGAATACTGATGCATTCATATATAAATAAATTTTAGAACGTTTTTCTTTTGATATATTTGAAAATTACAAATATATTCAATATCTATTCTCCACCACTTATATTTTTTCTATGATTATTCTGAATTAATTTGTCATATTTATTTGGTACTAACTCTTTCTAAGAAACCTTATTCTCTAATTTACACTTATATATATCTTAGATTCATCTTAATCTTTCGTTTCGGTTCAATAATACATTACTAATTTGTTCTTATTTTGATATTCAAAATTGTTTTATATAAACATTGTCTCGCATGAGTTAACTTATATTTGATTGTCAATTAAATGATACTCGACAACACGTGCTTTTGCGTAAAATATACCTAGTCAGATATAAACATAAATATATTATGAGTAAAAAAGACAATTTTCCTAAATAACAAAGATTTCATCTGGAAGGCGAGATGCTTTATTAAGCATGATGAAAATATTTGATTTTTTTTCTCTATTCTTCTAGTTTCCTTTTGAATAAATCCTTCTAACGATTACTTTTCACTTGAAAAATTCTCAATGTTAGTTCAGGACGCATTACATGCTGACAAATTAATTTAATTAGACAGTTGAAAAGACTAGAATATAGACAAATGACACCGTCTTATAAAATAGACTATGACAGGTAAAAGAAAAAATGCTTTAATTCGTCACTAAATACTAACTAGTTGTAGAAAAGTATGCATTTTTTAATGAAAAGATTATATTTTTTTGCCGTTTCAATTCATACTTAAAGCACGTGTACAGAACGAACAAAAGCGAACAATCATCTTACCATCATTGTAAATTTATGTGTATGTATATGCTTTCTCAATCTTACAGATCAGGTAGACATGGGCGAGAGAAGAAAGATTTCTTTACGCATTTTTCAATACTATATTGAATAGCTGTAGGGCAACCTTCCTTCCTTTATTCTTTCTTTTATTCATTTATTCATTCATTTTTTCATTCATTCATTCACTCATTCATTCATTCATTCATTCGCCTGCTTGACTGCCTCATGAATATATGGATGTGTTATTGTTGTGTTGATTTCAAAAGGAGAGGACATACGAACAAAAGGGACGCACAGGAGAAGTGAAGAGTATCCTTTATACTCAACAACGACGACACATAAAGACAACTGATGTGGGTCAAAAATGGGAGAGGGAGAGAGCGAGAAATAAAAAAAAAGAAAAAAGAGAGAAAAAGACAGGGCAACTGCCATTTCAATCAACCGTATCTAAGCGGCTTTTGTGTCGTTTTTGTATGTGGGTGCTTTGAAAGCACGGAGAAAAAAGAAACTGCTGTTACTGCTACAAATACTGATGAATTGAATTGAATGAATTGTGTATGGCAATGTTAGGAGATGAATTGAATGAATGGTGTTGTCGACAAGCACTACCATTCGTGCATACACACTATATAAATACACATACGCAAATTCAAAGAATGCTGAGAACAAGAAGAATGGGTTGGCTAGTATTATATTTTTATATATTATAAAGCAACAACTACTACAACGCAATGGATTCACAAGTTTTTAAAACGTCGAATGTCACTGAGCATTAGCTCAGTTGATAAATGTAACATGGTACTCGTCGTTCATTCTACTTCAACAATATAATTATATTGGTAAGATTTGAATGTTCTATATGCATATTATAAAGTGTTAATATTGACACTAAGAAAATACGATTAGAGAAGAAGAAAAATGCCAATTTTGATGTGTGAAGTATTTTTCCTCGAAGAATTTTACACATAATTTCTAATTGTTATTTTTTTTTTCGAAAAAAAAATCTATATTTTTCACAACAAATTAAAAATGTGTATTGTTTTTTTAGTTTCATACGTTTTATATACGCTAGAGGTCACAATATATCAAAACAAGATATATTTCTAGATGGCAGTAATTTTTAACTATCAATAATCATTAAATGATTATTATTGTCATTTTAAAGAGAATATCGAACTACTAACTCTTTGATAAATCTCTTGAGTATCATATCTATTTCTTTAATGATAGATATCAAAGTTAAAATCGACTGATTAACCATGAAATATGACACATTTTATCAATTGAAAGAAACAAAAAAAGGAAAAATTTGTTAATCGATTGATTCGATGTAATTACTCGAATGTAATTCAATACTTGTTAGTTTGTTTTCTATGTAAATATTTACACATTCTTGATGAATTCAAATATATGTATATATAACGATCACATATATATATATTATGTTAAGGATCATATTAGTTCTAATTAAGAATATTACTGATTCTTATTTTCTGTCACATCTTTGGTATTCCGGAAGAATAATTTATTCAATAATACTTTGAAAAGAAATCGTATGTGCCGATTCTGTAAAGTTAATATCACCTATGTGTAAGCGAACATAGCAAATATTCATGTTATTGTTCTGTTTCATCTCCTCATTTGAATAGAAATTGAAAAAAATATAACGATAATGACTTTCAAGCTTATAGCATTAGAAATGATGATTATTTTTGTTTAAACAATGATATATTATCTTTGATGTAATAATTGGCTAGTACTTTTAGAGTGTTTCCGTTTTTTCCATATAATTATTTAAGATATGTTCAAATAATCTGTAAAAACTAATTGATCGTAAATAAGAGCGTTTATATACATATGCATATGTGTTATTGATCGATCAGTGATGTTGTACAATCCTCTTCTTTATTTTACTAAGCTTATAATGAGTATAGATGTGTTAAGTGGACGACCTTCACTTGCTTTGAGCGCGTGACATACATAGAATTAAGGATTAGTAAAGACGATAAATAAATATTGACCTAAATCTTGCCCGATGGACTGAGAAAAAAAAGAGACTTGTGTCTCGTCGCGTCTCGTCGCGTCTCGTCTCGTCTTTCAAACGAAAACAAATAGGTACCGCACAAAATTTCATTTTCAAATCTATGCCAGTCAGTATGTCTGTCGCGCCAATAATAATAATAATAAGAATGATGATGATGACAGTTTGTGTCGATTGACACGCACATCTAGTCCCCAATCGAATCAAATCACGCGCATACAAAATACATTGACAGCATCATTGTACATATTTGTCACCCAAGCACAACCACTCGAGAGAGATGCTCGGTCACGCAACTCACTCACTTTCTCATCTAGATGATGATCGGTGTTCCATAGGGAAAAAAACTATCTATTCATGAGCACGAACAATTCAATCTTCTAATTAAGTTTTCTATTTTGACAAAATTAATGACGCACATAGAGATATAGAATGTTGTGACAAATGTCTATTTTATCGTTTATACGATCCGATTTCTTCAATTATAATAGCAACAGCAAAAACAAAAACAACAACATCACCTACACTGAAGTGATGTGAACGATTGAAAATTGATCTCTAAGAATGATGATATCCATTTTATTCTGTCTCTTTCGTTTTCTTTCTCCTAGAGCACGTAAGTCAAGAGCTGGACAGCAACACGGCAAAATTGCTACTTGAGAATCAGTTGAAGTATCCTTCTCTTTTTCTCTTTTACCAACTTGAACTATCGTTCGCGTTCACTTTCATTCACCTTCCGACCGGCGGTAACGGAAGGAAGTCGAACGACGTCCGTTTAATTGGCATCGTCGTTCCAATAGCAGTAGAAACTAGACATTCATCAAAAGATGACGATATAGAAGATCTTTTGTTGATGTCCAAGTCACGCACATGTTAGAAAGAAGAAGGAAAAGAAAAAGAAGTATCACTGTTGGTTCAATATCACGAAAGAAGTTTATTTGCATGTGATGTCGTCAGGAAACAATTCGGAATGTTTGTCGGATTCCATTCATTCATTTGATCTCTATTCCGGATGGATAAGGTGCTTGTCTATATAATTAAAAATGAAAGAAAGATATTCTTTGTCAATAATCGAATGGTATGAATCCCGCCTCTAGCTTCGCTTCATTACATCGAACCAACCCATTTTCTCTTGGGAAATTGTCTTTCTTCTCTTTTCATTCCTAATGATGGATCAAACGAGTGATATCTTTCAGCAGAGAGTACGGTTGTTCATTCAAGCACGATCAGACATAGAAAATGCATATATATATGGAGGTGCTTTCTCCCACAACATACGCTTAAGTGAACACACATTTCAATGTGTTTTTCTTTTTTTTGTTAGTATTGTCGTTAAAATAGCAAACGACTATTTTTCTTGGGCCAACGGGCACATTAGCGAAACTATAACACACATCGATCATCATCTATCGTTGCAATGAAATCGAGAAAAAAAAGAGACAAGAAGGTGTCAAAATGATCTCTTCTTCTCACTCTTTTTCTCTCCCTATTTCTCTTACGTTGAACATGCGTATGCAATTTCCTTTCACACATATACCAATGAGAAAAACCGGATACTTATCAACATCCGTCCTTCATCTAGTTGCTAACCGTAAATCGAAATATATATACATACATATATATATTATATCAATATATCAACTTTTGTTGTCTATTTAGCTTAATTCATTAGTAGGCGGATCTAACACCTATTTTTTTTGTAATCATAGATAAATCAAAAAAAAAGAAAACGGTAAAAGAAAAACTCAGTGCTATATGCGCTATTTGACAGTCTGATCATTCGTTAGTAGCACTAATGTTTATTTTAGTTCTAATACAGGTGAAACGAAACGAAAGAGACATACTCAAAGGCATTAAGCAAATAAAATCATGAATAATAGAAGGCAAATATACTCGAGTAAGCAAGCAAAGTACTGTATTTTTTGCCTCTATTATATACATATATATATATATATATACGCATATATTTGAAATCTCTTTTTTTTATTTCTTCTGCTTAATCAGTTTTTTTGTGTTACATTTTGATTAGAATAAAAAAAAAAGGAAATGTTTCTGGTGTTGTCGGAAGGTAGTCGAACAGTTGATGCCCGATAGCTACTCAAGAGAAAAAGGAAAAAAAAATGAAAAATCGATTGGAATGATGATAGGCGGGGTGACCATAATGATGATCGCAGCCAGCTGCTGCCTAATCGACACAGGGGTTCTTGATTTGTGGTAAAGAAAAAAAAAAACTTCTGAGCATCGTATGTCACGTTCAAACTCAATTATGGGTTATTCAATTAATTAATTATCATTGCAAGAAACAAGATTCTATATGGATAATTCATGCTGTGTATGTAACTCAACACGTTGACAAAAAAGGAAGCAAAGATATAATTATTGAGCAGAAGTTACGATTCGATTTTTCGAGTGTATGCACGTGAGAAAGATTACGACTAAAACATATATCTTCATATCTTCAATATTTTTGCTTCTTACACTGACAACTTATGTGTGTATTATACATATATAATTATACCAATTGAAGTGACAAATATAGTTTAACATTTTTTATGTTATCACTTAATGATTAGATATTTATCTATGTCTGCCTTATAGGCAAATACACACACGCGTTTAGTTTTTGTTTTAAAGAAAAAAGATTAGTTTAGTAGTATTGTTATTCATTGCATCATTAACAACAGCAATGGATCAAAATATTCTTTTTCTTAATCCGTCTGATAAGTCGAAATGAATTATTGTTTCTTTTCTTTATTTTAGGTTATTTACAATCCAAACAAATACAACAACTTAGTACTTTTTTCGTTTCTTTCTATTTCTTCCTCGTTACTTTTTTTTTTTATCTTGTGCTGTTCTATGAGTGCATCAACGCATATATACGCATGTGCGCCAATTGCAACAACAAACAATAAAATATTCTAATGAATTTTTCTTTCTTTTATAAGCTTACTATTGAAATGATTGGTTCGATTTTCTTCGTTGTGCACCAATAAAAATGATAGTTATATCAAATGGCATCGCATTGGTGGAGAATGAGAGAAAAAATTCTTTTCTCTTTCTCTGTTATGTTCTGTTAACGAAAGCGCTCGTTTGCATACCTGACCCGACTATTATTATTAAAGCAGAAAGAAGAACGACAGAAAAAAGGAGCGAGAGAGAGAGAGAAAGAAAATCCACGTAGAACAATACACTCTCACACCTTTCGAGCAGCCACACATATACACGCATTCATATACGACAAACCATGTGCTGCTATTGAAGCAGTATAATACAATACGAATCCAATACTTAATATTTCTCTCGATTTTTTTTTCTTCTCTCTTTTGTGCTCCCATCCGTAGAGAAAAAGAGAGAGAACGTCAGAGAAAGAGAGAGAGAGAGAGGGAGGGCGAAGAAAAAACGGGCTAAGTGTACGACGTCGGCGTCAGCCACATTGAGTATCGTTGCGATTGTATTGTATTGAAATCATCATGACGGTTTCTTTTTATTAACAAACATACAACACATACATACATTACAAATACATACACATACACCAGGTAAAATTCTTCCTTTTATTCTCTAACAATAGAAAAAGCAAAAGAGGAAAAAAAGCTAAACAATAAATAAATTGAATATATAATTGCTTTATACATACTCACTCTACAATTGAGATTGACGTTTATCGGCTAATTACTCATACACAGATAAAACAGCTGATAATGATGTCTTTTTTTCTGTTCAGTCATTAACAAATGGAACACTAAGTGTTTTGATCATTAACTATTCTCTATATATGCGTAAGATTTAGTTTCTATTCTAACATTATATTCTGTCTGATTTTAGCTATGGTGTCTTTGTACAATATGGACTCAAATTCCGAGTTAGCGTTTAATACATCTCATTATCCACATCATGTATCTTATCATCATGGAAATGTATATGATTCTCCTATTCAAGTTTCATCAACGGCACCACCACCCAATTGGATGATGCATCCCCATCATTCTCATGCACCTTTAATGATGTCACATCATTTACAAGCACCATCATCCCAATATTCTAATGGTATGAATGGTCCACATTCAAATTCTTCTAAAGATGAACCATTATCTCCTTTATCGTCATCACCTGGAGCAACACCAACAACATCATCATCAGCTCTAACACCGAATTCTCTTCCATCATCACAATCAACAAATACATCAAATCATCATCAACATCATAATTCTTCATTAAAGAAAACTCTTGATGATCGTGTTAAACGTCCAATGAATGCATTTATGGTTTGGTCACGTGGACAACGACGTAAAATGGCACAAGAAAATCCTAAAATGCATAATTCCGAAATAAGTAGATGTTTAGGAGCTGAATGGAAACGTTTAAATGAAGAAGATAAACGACCATTTATTGATGAAGCCAAACGTTTACGTGCAATTCATATGAAAGAACATCCAGATTATAAATATCGACCGAGACGTAAAACAAAAAATTTACAAACAACATCATCATCATCATCGACAACAACAGTACCATCCAATAATTCATCATTGATAAATAAAAAAGATAAATCACATCATCTTATGCATCAACATCATCATTCAAATCCATCAAATCTTCCACCACCAAGAGGTTCAAGTTGGGGTTTACCATCAAATGTTATTTCGGCATCATCATCATCACCTTATTTAACAGATTGTAATTCAGCTTATTCAATGACAGATCCAAATTCACTTTATTCACATCCATTTCCACCACCACAAATGTACCATTATGGTCCACCATCGAGTACAAGTCCTCAACCACCAACACATGTTCAATATGGGTATACTAATAATATGAATGGGAATCATGCATATCCTTATATAAAACCAGAATCTATGTCATCTCAACATTTTTATCCACCACCACCACTTTCGCATCAAGACTATTCACCACCTGATCCATCATCACCTGAACAGCATATGTAAAACAAATAGAAAACAAAACGAACATAAAGAGAACAATTTTTTTGTTTGTTTGTTTGTTTTTTTTCTTCTTCTCTCTTTTGGAAAAGCCCGGTCGATGTGCAATCTATTTGAATCTCAATTTATACGACATCTTCTGTTTTTTTTTCTGTCTATCTCTCTCTATTTTGTGTCGCATCGGGTGTATACGTGTGTTCGTGCCGTTTTGTTCGTTTTTTTTTT